CACATCTCAAAAGTTTTTAAACGCAAAAAATATTACAATATTCATGTAATGATAGATATTAGTATATTACTACGTGTTTGTAATTTTAACTAAATTTTATAATGTATTGTAGAACTCTGACTTATTTTTAAAAATTTTTTTTTTCGATTAACAAACTTAATATAATTTAGTTATCAAACGTGTTTTTTTGAAACAATTTTTAAATGAATTGTTATTTATTGTCAATTTAAACAAACTAAAAAAATTAATATAGATAGCTATCGAAAAAAAAAAATAAAAATAAAAATGTGATTTTTATGAACAGATTAAAAAAAAGTGTTTATTTAATTTTAAATAATTATTATAAACAATTTTTATTATCAAAGAGAGTGTTATATCTGTTTTTTGTCATATAAATAATAAAAATATAATTCTTAATTCATTTTTTCTTTCTAACACAATAAAAGGGTTTGGTTTAACTATTAATAAATATATGTTCTCTTTTTATACAGTATGCACGAAGTTTTTAATGCTTATTTATTTTTTTTTTTTAACCGAATTTATACATAGGTTTTTACCAAATGTTCATAATTACTTTATAAGTACATATAAATGTATGTTTTAATTTAATTTTATAAAGGATCTCTTAAAACATTTTTGAATGGTTTTCTTGTATAAAAATTAATTAAAATATTTGTTGGTTAAAAATAATAAGATAAAATTGTTATATCATGAAAAGGCTAAAAAATAAAAGAGTCAAGTCAAAGCCATTCATCGTAGATTGTTTAGAAATTCTTCTAAGAATGTTTTTAGGAAGGTTAAATTCAATATTTTTTGTGAAGTTTCCTATTACCAGGTGTAAATTACTTGGAAAAATGGTGTAAATTTAATAAAAAGAAAAATAAGCTACCAAGTGTAATACTAAAATTTAAAGCTCATATTATGTTTTTTTATAAAAATAGGTGAAAATTGTTATAAATGTACAATATTTCTGCTAATATATTTTACTAACATGCAAATTTGATATTTTAAAATTGAATGATAATTATAAAAAGCTACTTATTTTTGTTAAAAGTAATTTATAGATGTCTAATCTAATAGGTAAAATAATGTATTAAGCTCTTAAATACCTAATAAAATATTATAATTTATATGGTTTTTTATTTTTAACAATTTATTTAAAAAAAAATATTTATAATTATCATTCAATTTAGTTTACAATAAATTTATTGAAAATTATCTCTCTAAATAATCTAGTATAATCAAAATATAATTTATTTTTTGAAATTTATTAATCTTGTAGGAATTATCTAGTTATTTTTATTTTTTGTATTGCGCGATTGAGTAACAATAAAAATAAGTTAGTCCTAGTTCAGTCATCTAGTGATAGTAATTTTAGAAACTTCGTGATTTATATATTTGCCTTGTTAAGGGGGGGGGGGGGTATTTTTATATTTTTCTCTAATTAAGTCACTTTTCTGAGAAAAAGTGATCACTTGTGACCTGGTTCAAAATCACTGCCCACTTGGACACTTTTTATTTGTTATTTTTTTTTAACTTAAAATATTTCTGTAAATAAAAATTTAATTATACTAAAGGTCTTAGGTAATTAAAAATATTTTATTATGTTTAGGGTTGTTATTAATGATTATACGGTATGCGACAGTTATTTTTAAATAATTATCTTTATATTTCTATTTTTAATTTTAAAATTTAATTACTGCGCTTTTAATGTAATAAATAGAAAGTAAAAAAAATATCAATGTATAAATTATTTAAGTAAATAAGTAGGGCAGGCTACTATAACTTACTAGTTGTGACAACTGACAAGTTTTTTTGATTGTTTGTTTATTATTTTAATTAAATTTTAATAGTATTTAGAAATCGTTTATTAGTATAATATTATACAATAAGTATTAATAATTTGATAAGCGCTCACTAAGTAGTACTTATTACTTAGGTAGTGGTTATTTTTTTTATATAATATTATTAAATTATTAAATGTATTCATTTATTCAAAGTTATTGCTAGAAAAATTATAAATTTACTAGGAGGATCTCAAAACAGTATAATTCAAGGGGTATGTCTAAGTTAATTTTACTTATAAATTAATGATAAGAATGTATCGTGTACAATAATTTACAAATTAAGGAGTGATAGATAAAAATGAATCGTTATATACAATTACAAAGAAGTTTATTATCTACATATTTATTTGAAGGAATATAGAATATATTGGCAGGTACGACGTGTGAGAACTTTGAAAAAGACTTGAAATAAAAGAGTTGGAGAGTTGGTTTAATACCGTTCATGGTTGTATTATGTTATCATATTGTTAATTCATCATCATCACTGTATATATTCCGCGCGAAATAATGTTTAGAATGTGATGATTAATTGTTTTTGGGTTTAAAGTATAACACAGCGATATGAGTAAGTACAAGCCATAACAATGAGCACGTATCGTAATCATCATTGTTTTTTGTACTTAATTGCAACGAAACAAGAATAATTTTAAACATATACATTAATTGCAGGTCTACATGATTTTTTATGATGCTTATACAATGATAGTTTTTCATAATTTATGTTAAAAAAGTTTGAATAAATTATTTCCAGAAAATTTTTGTAATATCGAATTTTAAAAATATATCAAATATACTAATAGAATCAATTATGTTAACTCATTAAATTTTAATTGAAAAAAAAATAAAATGTAAATTAATATATTTAATTGTGTTATTGAGTAGGTCTTTTAAACACTGTATAAGTTGTAATAGATGTGTTTAATTTGAATTCAATAATAAATCATCATATTTGAAAAATTATTCAGAATTAAGGAGACAGATGAACCCGCATTTATGTCTAAAGAATAATCTTTAACTAGTTAATATTATATTTTTATTTTTTTATGTTCATATTGTTATTGATATTTTATTAATTCTTTTAGTTAAACTAATTTATACCAAAAATATTGTAAATAATTTTACTTCTTACAGTTAATATACATGTACCCTATCATAAAACAGTGTTAATATTATAGTTGGGTATAAGAATAAAGAAAATTTAAATATTTGGTGAACATTTTAAGTTTATATAATATAATCTAGATTTTTTTCGAAAACTGGTGTTGCATAAATAATATTATGCGTTTTATCGTTGTTTTTTCTCAATTATTAAGAAAAGTACTTGGTTTTCATAGTCTTGACTAGTATAAGTGTCAACTATATCGGATCTGCTTGCATAATCTACCGTTATTAAAGTTTTAAATTGAATACAATTTTCTGTTTTAATGATGAAATGACCTAAAAACACTGCATAAATTTAATCGTAAAATAAAATCGAAAACTTTGAGGGTAATTTAATTGGTGGATTCAATTCTATACCGATTTCTTGACGACATTATTTTTGTTCCTTATGCCGCAAGCAAAACTATTTTGAAACGTACGAGCGCTGTGGCGGATCCAGGGTTGAATTTTTGGGGGAGACTTAAAAATTACTTTTAGCCATATATACATTATAATGTTCTAGTTCAGTGTTCCTAAAATATGAAAAATAGTGAAGAGAACGTTATTAATTTTATCATGGTTAAAACTATAGGAATTGTTTATGTTGATCGGGTACCTATAATAATAATTATACTGTTATAGATTTCAATTATTTTATTTTAAAATGACTTACAAAATATAAAATCTAATCTGCACTTGTTTTAGAAGCAAACTATTCAAATCTCTGTGTGCGTTTAAAACGACATAGATCATTTAAAAAAGGCCGTTGAAGAGGTCCCCATAGACCCACCTGGATCCGTCACTTCGCGAGCGTCTACAACGTAACGAAAATTGCCGACCAGGTCTTGTAATCTTCGGCCTGCCCTGACAGAACAAGACAACGTCGCACGGCGAAAGAAAACGATTATATTGTTGCCGTTTGCTGGCGTACGAACGATGATATTAATGAGCCATAATAACACAATAACGCGCGCAATACGTATGTCACAGCAATGATAGTAATATTAGTAATAATATTTCACCCGCCGTTTCACCGAGCGGCGTATGACACGGCTTCGGCGGCGGCGGCGGCACCAGAATAATAATCGTAATAATAATAATAAATAATAATATATAATATATATAGTCGTACCGCATAAACAACACACGCTATTATAACGCCGAGCGCGTAAGGGTCGGCGATCGCGCGTCGCGCACACTGTTGCGCGCCAACCACTGTTTGCTGCCGCAGCCGTGGCAGAGCGGCGGCGACGGCGGCGGCGGCGGCGCGCGAATATTATATAATTGCGCGCGCGTCGTGGCCGCCACCGCCACTGCCGCCGCCGCCGCCGCCGCCGTTGACACGTCCTCCGCGCGCCGTCCGCTCGCCACTGCCGCCGCCCCGCCATCCCGATGGCCGCGAACTCGGTGGCCACGGCGCCGTGTCGCACACACACACACACACACACTATCGCACACACGCACACGCACACACATGCGCACCCGCGCGGCGCGCCGTATTGAACTCTGCGCGTACATCGCCGTGGCACGTTCACACAGGTAGAGACAGGTGAGCGCGCGCGATGCCCACCAGCGCAGCCCGGAACCGTCGAAACCGCTGCGCCGCGTAGGGTTTTTTTGTTATCTCGTCGCCGCCGCCGCCGCGTTTACACGCACACCGCGTCATACCGCCGTGCGGATAGTGCGTGTACGCTCCGCAACAGTGTAACGGCAGTCGTCGGCGCCCGCGGCCCGTCACTCGCTCGCTACCGTCCGGCGCGCGAACACGCTCGTAACGCACGCGAGTGACCGCCAGATATAACCCTCCTCCTACCTCCCCCACGCGCCCGGTACCGGACCGGCCCGTCGCCCCGCCGACGTGTTTTCCGGCCGAGATCACTCGGTCGCGGATATTTCTGTCTCCGGCAGAACGACGACGAGAATTTGAAATTTGACAACGATAATAATATCAATAAAAAAAAAAAAAAAAAAATAATAATAATAAATTAATTAATTAAAAAAAAAAAAAAAAAATTCGTTTTTTTTTCTCTCGTCGATTTTCCTTTCGTCCGCCGTCGCCGTCGCGTAATTTCGTTTCATGTCCAAATAGTCGTATTTAATCGTTCGCTTCTGTAGCTCTGTCCGGCTGGTACGTATTATAAACAACATATTATTATTATAATCGTTACATCTATATTGTAGTTGTAGCACCTAAAAATATATATATATATAAATACGTCCCCAGACATTTTTCTAAGGGGGTGGGAGGGAGTGGGGAGAAAATAAATTAAGATTTTTTTTTTACACGTTTTACTTAATATATAGAACATTATTATGTTTCTAAAATCATTATTACATTTAGGGTATTGTTATACATTTTATTTACAGAAGATTATTATTTGTCGTCATTATTACATTAAATTATTGCGACTAGATAATAAATTTAAAATTCTAGGGGAGGGGGCAAGCGCCCCGTCTTGCGCCCCCCTGGGGACACCAATGCTTCGTCCGAAAATCACTGAACATTCTCCCGAGTCCAGTGTTTGTTAATTGTTTTGGTAATAATCATAGTGCGATAGAATTAACCCTCGCGTACATAGATCGAATACATGTTGAGTATGTGTACTTATAATATTATGTATTACTGTATATGGTGTCTATATCGTCTTGACTATAATTATAAAGACGCTGTAGAAAAGCTCTTTGATGTGCACGAAACGAGAAAACGAGTCTCATTTAGAATAATAATACACGGAGCTGTCTATTATGATATACATTTTTTTCCTTACACAATATGTATACTTTATAAGTATCATAGTTAATTGCAGTAAAGCTTGTATGTATAATTTATAAACAAAGCCTCAAATTATAATTATAACGTATTACAATTAATTGTATTCCATTGGGTTTTAAAACGCGTAGAGTTAAAAATACACGAGCACGACTTAAACTATATACATATAATATAATGTATATAATTTTATTAAGGTAATATCTTATAATGAATTGGCTTAGATTTTATGATATCATAGAACTATATTCTAACTCGGCGAATTTAATTCAATTAAAATAAGTGCAATTTCTGGTTTTCAATAAACACGAATTTTGTTTCTTTTAGTTCTTGAGTATTTCATTTAGTTCATTTCAAGTGTATATATTTTTTCTTACTTATGATATAGGTATTCTCAATAGTAATAAATATTTATTTTTTTCATCAAAGTTATTTTTTGAATGTGTCGTATTTCTACTATTATTGTTTGGTACGAGATTTTAGTTTTTTCGTTATTACCATAAAGCAATGTTCATCTTAAAATTTAAATATACTATTGCAATTTTTAAATTATCGTAACGAAATAAATGTTGTAAAACCTTTAATTTTAAATATAATGGAGTTAAAGCCTAATTTATATATTATAAAAATGAAGTGTTTTATTTAATGGATGGTATTGTAACATTACAAAGTTTTATTATCATACATGATTATCCACTTGGCAAACCATGACAATTCTCTGTATGAGTAAAATAATTTATTAACATGCCATTTATATAATATACTATCCACATTCAATGTAATATTTAATTGTCAGAAAAACTGAAACATATTAGAAACAAATAAAAATTAGTTTTTAATGCGTAATTTTATAGAATTAAATTTTCAGTGATATTTTGTATCAATCCATTAAAAAAAGAAAATATTATGTTTAATATACCCAATTTCCAAGCTTTATTTTATTATAATTTATACGTCATTTTTAGAATGAAATTGTTTGCATTGATGTGATGGGGTTTTTAGATGTAAGACAATTTCAAAAGCAACTTATTAAAAACTTTATACAGACCGTTTTTTCAATCATTTCATTTCAACATTTGATAGTATATAAAATAAGGTTCCAATAGGGTTCATTATTTAAATATAAAAAAAATTCAATAAATACAAAAAATAATTCACGTAAAAAACACTCATTTTGGTTTATTTAATTTAAATACATGGAAAATATATTTTCTACAATTCTACGTGTTTAAGAATTTCACGTTTATTTATTATATTTCACTCTCATAATATTTTCAATTTTTTAAAATTTTTCAAATACTTTTAGACATTAATAATGAGGTTATATTAAATGATACAGTCATAATATGAAATATCCATATTGTTAAAAATTGTTTTAAAATAGTTTGCGGAGATTAGTTTCATTTAATACTTGAATAAGACTATGCCTTTGTTGAAGGCGTGAGGATTTGATGTAAAGTTTCTGGAAGTTAATGTTAGTGTTTTGATTCAGTAATATCGCTGGCATTCAAGAAGAATGTATTTGAATGTGATGCATGGTACCACAAGCTGTCATAGATTAGGACAATGTTTGGTTAAGATGGTCGCGTGTAGTGTTTTTCGAGGTACACTGATTATAACCACGTATTTTCTGTATATTATAATTGATTTAGGATTCGGTATTATGGACTGTTTGATTTCTTTTATGTATTATTCAGTAAATTAAACTTCTAGGTTTGTCATTCAATAATGTAATTAGGTTTATTGAAATTTTATAAGCCGCGGTCTTCGTTTAGTCGTAAAGATAAATTGGAATAAACTGTAGTTTATTTGGGTTTTTGATCAGCATTTTCGTTTTCTATTATGTTAACATAACTAGGAATCCATACAAATCATATTCTATGTTTGCAATCGTTTATTTCTTTGATTGTTTGAATAATTATATTGGTTGCGGTGTTTTAAAAGGATCAAATATATTTATTGATATTTGTTTAAAATTTTTCAAACGATATACGTTATAATATATAATGATGAAGTTAATTTGTGTTAGTTTGGTTATTCAATTACTTATATGAAAGTTCTATTTTTAATTTGTATAATGTAAGAGAAGAAGATCATACGGGGTTTTTTTATTAATTATAAAATTTTAGCTTTTAAGAATGATAAGATTTTTGTTTGATTATTATATAGTAGATTTGTAATTAATATTGACGGTTTATTATATTACGGTCAATTTGAGTAAGATTAGTTGGATCTTAAAAATAGATTTCAATTTTTATTTAAATGCATGTTTTGTTTGTTACTTTTATTTAGTATCGTTCGTGTGGTTTAAGTATAAAAACATATTATTTTAAACTAAAATCGTGCATTCTATTAAGTTATTATAAACTTTAATTTTATTCCATATTTATTAAACTTAAGTTATTACACTTTTATTATTATTATTTTGAATAAAAAACGCAGCATTATTTTATGATTAAATAATTAACAACAATTTTTGTTTTAAAATAATTGGAACTAAAAATATTCTTTAAACGAATTTTAATATAATATACAATATACATATTATAACATTATACTGCCATTATATGACATCAAGAAATATCGATGAAAAGTTATTCTTGAAACGTCTGAAAAAAATTCTATCTAGTCGTCGACAGGTCTTAGAATATAATGGAAATAATATACTTATCGCACATGATAAATGATGTACAAGTTTTTAAAACAAAGTCGTATAGCAATAATATAAATTTATTACATTATAATTGTACTATAATATTGTCTTGAATTATTTAACCTGTATTTATATATAATGAGTTAATTTAATCAAGGATGGAGTTGAAATGTCTCAATATTATTCAAATATCACTATAAAAAAAAAAAAAAAAAATATATTTTATTAGGGCTAGCATTTGAAAAAAAATTGTTATACGTTATTTACAATTAAAACGTTATATACATTTTGAGTTTATCGTTATTCAGAATTTAAATTTTAAATGTTATTCAACTTTTGCATTTATCTTTATTCAGGATTATAATTTTTAATATATTTTATAATAATTTATAACTATTAAATAATTGGAAATTAATTATTTCTTTTAATAATATACTATTTATAACTTTTGTGTTATGCTTTGTTTGATGATATATCATATATTTTGTTAATCGTTATGTTTTGTTTTGCGTTATTTAATTATTTGTGTTTATTGTTTTCTGTTATAATTACGTTTACAAATTTCAATCGTTTTTTGTCAAATATAACGTTATTATAACGCTTGCAAGTTCTGTATTTTATTCAAAACTCTTAAAATAATATAAAGCAACAAAATATTTTAAACTCAACAAATAAACAACTAAGTAGATCGATTTATTAAAATAAAAGTAAACTTTGGTCCTGCTTATAGCTGGTGAAAAACTTTTACTTGAATTTGACATTCGTTATAACGTGATTTGAACCAAAGAGTTTTATTTTTGTTTGTATTATTTTGTTTTTAAAAGTTAAGTGGATTGCTTATATTGTCTTTGAAAATGTTTACAGCTCTTTATATTACATATTATAGAATTGAATGGAATATAAGCGTATTTCAATAAATAAGAGAAAATCTAATTTAAGAAAATATTTATAGTTAATGATTTTTTAATGGATCATATTTAAATATTCGATTTAAAATTTAATAATCAGTTTTATAATTTGTTTGAGTATAATAAATACTTAATGTAGTATAATTGTTATACATTAAATTCTATTAAAATTAATAAATTATTTTACATGTTAAATTGGATACTTAAAAAAAATATTCTAAGTACAAGCACATATTATATTATTATCTAAAATATAATATTTAGAAAATATTTAGTCTATACTATTTTTTATTTATTGTGACACTCCATAGATTTCGTTATTTATATTATTTTTTAAAATAATTTATTCTTCTAAGCTTGTTATACACACTCTAGGCACGTAAATTGTATCATAATTTTTGTTTTGAGATAAAAAAATATAAATAAGACATACAAGTATTAAGTAGTCGTAGATTATATTATACTATTAGTCATTGTCTAGTTATTATTGGTAGCATGAATTATATTTAAAACGATAAGTTGAATTTATTTATATTTTTTGTTGATGAATTACTTAATATACATTAATTAATTAGCCGATACTAAAATTTCCAACGTTATTTACTCAATCGTATATTGAAAGTGAAGTCTCGTTTTATACTATTCTTGATTATTTTTCTATTTTATACAAAAAAAAAAGGTTGTTTTTCTATTTTTATTACTTTGAATGAAAACTAGATTTTGTTAGTATTCAAACATTTTCAGTATTGTTTCGTAAGTGGTTATTTTTTAGGATACTCCCCTAGGCATACTTCTTA